ACGACGACGGCGACGCCAACCGAAACAGCAACAGCAGCATCAACATTAATAAAAGGAGAGCGACTCTGTACTTATTATTAAATAGTATAGTGTATAGCATTTGCATATTCCAATTTTGTATTCTGTGAGTTTGAATATAATTTATTAATTAAACTAAGTTTACAATTTCTAGCTCTAAATACAATAGCCTACATACATCTATCTATGCGTCCAGGCCATGTCCACGATCACATTCACGGCAATATGACAATAGCAATAGCAAAATCGCATATTCGCATTCTCACATTCACATTCGCATTCGCACTTGAACTCGCACTAGTACACACATCGATCAATGTGATTATATGTTGAGCCCAACGAGAACAAGCAAGCCAACAACGATTTACTTGAATGAATTAGAGTGCGTCAGCCACTATGTGCTCCTGTTGAGAGCGGGAAAGAAGAAAAGTTAATTGTAGGTTTATGTCTATGTTGTATTTATGTCGGAAATTTTGTGTTTACTATCTTACATGTACGAAGACAATGATAACTTGATGGTGTCTTAGTCATCATATTGTCTTTCTCTTTTTGTTCCTTTTCGTCTTTTGTTGATATTGTATCCGCTGATTACAAGAGCTATGCTATATATGTTCTGCTTATGTGATTGTGCTATTGCTGCAGCCTATCTCTCTTTTTCTCTTATATATAATATCTATATACGAGGGTCACTATTTAAGTTTTTTCAAAAACATATATAAGACAATGGGGTTTCATCGAAAATGGTTTTATTGTTTTTCAAAATATTCGCCATGATGATCAATACACTTTTGCATTCGCTCGAATCATTTGTCATAGCATTCATGCCACTCCGAAAGTGATATCTCCAAAACGTGTGTTTTGAACGCATCAACTGCTTCTTCGGGCGATGAAAATCGTTGACCACGCAGCTTATTCTTCACGCTCGGGAATAAAAAGAAATCGTTGGGTGCCAAATCAGGACTGTACGGCGGATGACCCATTAAATCGATCTTTTGACCGGTCAAATAATCGACTGTTTGATGAGATGTGTGAGAGCTCGCATTATCATGATGAAGAATTATTTTGCGACGGCGGTTGTTTTTTCTTATTTCACCAAACACTTCGGGCAAACAAATGGTGGTGTACCAATCAGAATTGACGGTCTTACGAGCCTCTAGTGGAACTGTTGCCACATGACCACTTATCGCGAAAAAACAGGCGACCATTTGCTTCGCAACACTTCGAGCTCGAACAACTTTTGTTGGGTTATCTTCACTTTGAAAGACCTATACAGTCGACTGCTGTTTAGTTTCGGGCTCATACGCGTAGATCCATGATTCGTCACCAGTGACGATAAAATACACGGATTTTGAAACACCACGATTGAATTTCTTGAGCATTTGTTTACACCAATCGACACGAGCCTTTTTTTGAGCGATTGTCAAATTATGTGGTATCCAACGAGAGCAAATCTTTCTGACAGCTAAATGTTCATGTAAAATCTTAAATACGCTGGTCGCACTAATGCCCAGGGATGCCTCAATCTCGTGATATGTTACATGACGATCTTCCATTATCATATTTCTGACAGCATCGATGTTTTCTGGTACAACAACTGATTTTGGACGACCTTCGCGGAACTCGTCGATGAGCGATAGGCGACCGCGCTTGAATTCGTTGTACCAATTATAAATTGTCCGAAGACTTGGTACTTCATCGCCAAAGGCCAAATGAAGTTGATCAAAACACTGTTGTTGTGATACACCCAATCGAAAGTGGAAAAAAATAATCGCTCGAAAATTTTCACGAGTAAAATTCATTTTTTGGCTGAGACGCAATTTACATGTTACGGTAAACAATACAAATAACGATCGAATGACAAAACGTTCTGAGAACGTTTATGCTACAAAATGTTAAACTTAACGAATATGACAATGGTTTGCATCGGGCAATACTAAAACATACATATTGAAGAAACTTACATAGTCGCCTACGTATATATGATATGTCTTATATGTATTTATATCATTTGAGATTTGAATGAAGATGTAAATTCGGTCGGTTTTGAATTGCAAACGTTGACGGCTAATGCAATAGATTGCGTATGTGCGCTCACAGCACATTTACAATAGTTTGTAAATAATGAGGATATAAAATCAAAACATCTGAACTACAATAATATCAACATAGACATTCGTTACACGCTACATATGTAGAGTGCATATTGCATACTCTCTATAAAATTTGCTGCGACTGCCGGTGTTGTCATTCTTTAGCCCCACATCTTGTTGTATTACTGGCTGTCTCGTTCTTCCAATTCGCTTGCTGAACAGCAAACACACACTCTCTCTAACACGCAGAATGCGCCTGTAAAGTACATTCAAACACGCCTGCAATGTTTGTTGCATCAAAATTCCTGATTGTAAGAATTTGCATAAGCATGCTACACCTAATATTTCATCAAACCATTATCTTATTTTTATGTATTAGGTGCACACTCACAGCACAGCACAGCATACAAAATACAACTCATTCTCTCTTGTTTTTGCTGTACGCTGTTCTCAGTGGGTTAAAGCAATGCATTGCATCGAACAACAGCATACAGTCAGCAGTGCATACACAACTTTGAAGCAGCCAGGCGACCAAAGCACAAGCACATATATTTCAAATATGAGAAGCCGTTCGTTTCTATTGACTTTTTCCACTTAAAATCGGAGAAATCTGTGCACAATTTCTGTTAGCTGACCAAATGTGTTTCACAAAATGTTAAAATGCAAATATGCAGGTAGTCGAAGAGCGAAAGATTGGCCAAAATATGATGGAACAGCACAATAGGTCGATGAAATACTCAAGAATTTCATTTTTGGCCAATAAATTGCCTTTCTGTTAATTGTGGGGTCCATTCTCCGTCTCTTCCTTTCTCCCTCTCTCTCTAGCTCTCTGCTACACACACATACATATTTCCATTCTTGCTTGCTCGCCAAATTCAACAACAAAGGTGAGCATTTGCATCACTCCAACTTAATCAAATTAAAAACTAGTTTATTATCGTAAGTAACTTTTACTTACGTATCAACTTTCAAAACGGAATATACCAAAAACATGGACATGTCTATGAAATTTTGGATGAAAATATGTCTGCATCAGCTCTTGGATTTCTTGGTATGGGTTGTCGTGTAATAAGTGCAACATATCTGTGCATTTTAATTTTGAGATGGAACCGAAAAAAAATTATTTGAATTAATAAATACGGTTTGTAAACCTATATATAGAGAGCAAATCATTGCTGGCTGAATAAAAGAAAGAAGAATTCTTAATGATATTGTTGGATTTTAAAATACACATACATTTATATATGCTTCAGAATAACTGCATGACTCTTAATCAATTATTAAAAGAATTCTTAGAAATTAAATGGATCCACTGAATTGAAAAAATATAATTGTGATTAATAATAAAAATGGCTGGAATCATGCTATAGTGATGATTATAAAATATTCAAATATTTCCATCAATGAATAAAAACAAGACAAAAAGCATATTCAACAATAATGATAATAATAATAATCGATGCCTATCTGAACTTTCTGAAGATCAAACCGATTCAACGAAATATTATATATACATAAATTATCATCACAACAAAACAAGAGACAGTATAACAAAATTGATGTTCAGATAGTCGTGTTAAATTTCATTACATCTTTTCCATTGATGCCAATTTTCAAGTTGGACAAATGAAAATGCAATCGATCAATTGCATAAGTCTACCATCTTAATTTATATATACATTTTACGCTTTTTGGCTCAAAATATTTGTTTAATCAAAGAAGAATATTATTGTGTTATAGGCATTTCTTCAAACGAAACAACCAAACTTATTATAGGAATCATCGAAAGGGGACATAGATTCATAGTAGATTGGAAGTTTCAATAAGCGCAAATGAAATGGATGCCATTTAAAATAAAGTGTTATTACATACTTTTGGAACTTTCAAAAAAATTTCAATTCTTTTAGAATGGCTATAAATGTATTTATTAAACACAAATAGGAAAAAAATGTATGAACAAACTGCAATTAGTGTCTTTCTTCCTTTCGTAGTGATCGTGAGAGTGGTATGTTGTACAGCTTTTATTCTGACTGGTTCATTTGACATCCTTAAATGATAGAGCGTTGCACTTTCAACCGCTCTCGGCTAACTTAATCCCTATTTATATAATATATTCCTGTCATATTGCTCTTTTCGAGTCTGAATATTGTCATTTGATGCGGCTACATAATTTTTCAGTTGTTAATTCTGCAGTTTTTCTGGATCGTGTGCTTTTTGCCGACATACATCTCATTGGGTATAAAAAAGAGTAAATTACATATTTTAAGCGTTGGATTTCATTTCTTAATTAGCATGTTTTCGATTTATTTATGAAGGTTTTTCTCCATTCCATATTATCTTCAGATGCACAACATCCTTTAATTCATTTTAGGATCATGCGATTTTTTTTTCTCGCTCAAATAATCAATTTGATAAATGGTATACATAAATCATTTAGAGCAATTGGCAGTTTCCTTGATTATGATTGGACGGGCTTAGAATATGATCGTGTTTTGAATATAAGATAATTCATTATGAACCAACTCAGAGAAAAGGGGAAGACTTAAATAGGCATTTTGTCTTAAAGGCTTGAAGACGAATCAAGTATCTTAATATAAAATAAAACTACACTATATATTTTCATTCGCTCGGTGGAACATACTTTTCGAATCTTTTATTTCACTTTTGAAAAAAAAGAAAAAAGAAACAGACAAACATGTTAAAAGCGTGATCATTCATTTTGGCATTTACAATTGTGATCAAAAAGTACACATAATTGATGATTTCAAATGCGCGGGATGAAGAAATCGTGTAAATATTTTTTTTGTGGGTTGGTAGAAATGTCATTTATAACTGTACAAAATATCATGTCAATATCTGCATCACATGTTGAGTTACACTTGTTGATGTGCATACACAAAATTTCTTTTGGCGATTTTCATAATGACAGATTTTGTTGAGCAAAGAATTTGCATTAAATTTTGTGTGCGGAACGAAATTTCGGCCATAAAAACGTGTGAAATGTTAGAAAAGGCCTTCAGTGATCAATCCATGGCTAGACCAACTATTTATGAGTGGCATAAGAAGTTCAAAAAGGACAGAGAACGTGTAGAAGATGAAATGCGATCCGGACGACCAACAACGTCAACTAATCAACAACACGTCAAGGAAATAAAAGATCTTGTGCTAAAAAACCGTCGATTGGCAATTAGAGACCTTGTTGATATTGCTGGCATTTCATTTGGGCCAATCCAAACCATTTTAAAAGATCATTTGGGTCTCAGACGTTGTGCATCTCGATTAGTGCCAAAAACATTGAATTTCATCGAAAAAGAGCCTCGTGTTAATGTGTGTCAAGAAATGCTTTCTGACTATCAATCGTGCATAAAACGGATCATTACGAGAGATGAGACTTAGATCTATGCATACGACCCAGAAACAGCCGATCAGTCCGCCGAATATCGTTTGAAAGGTGAAACCAAACCAAAAAAATCTCGTCAAAGTCGGTCAAAAATCAAGGTTATGTTGACAGTATTTTTCGATAATCGTGGTGTGGTGCATTCCGAATTTTTTCCAAGGGGCCAAACTGTCAACAAAGAATATTATCTGAGTCTTATGCGTCGTTTGCGTGAAGCAATTATTACCAGAATTGTGGCAAAACAATTCTTGGTTTTTGCATCACGATAATGCACCCGCTCACACTGCATTAATTATTCGTGATCATTTCGCCAAAAATTCAACTCATATCGTTCCGCAACCTCCATATTCGCCTGATTTGGCACCGTGTGACTTCTGGCTCTTCTCTACACTCAAAAAACCACTCCGTGGACATCGTTTCGAGTCGATTGAAGAGATTGAACGTGAATCGCTACGTGAATTGAAGGCCATACCTGAAAGTAGGTTTTCACACTGTTTCGAAGACTGGAAAAAACGTTGGCGTATGTGCATTGCGGCCGAAGGGGATTACTTCGAAGGCGATGAAATGAATTTAGAAGAATAAATAAAGATTTTTAATTTTTTTAATCAATTATGTGTACTTTTTGATCACAATAGTATATGAATCGTTTTGAATTCTGTAAGTATACAAATGTATAGGCTAAAATTTGTAATTTTATGCATTATTTTAGAAATTCAATATTATGACACCAACTTTATTGTTCAAATAGGCAATTTTTGATTTTATTTTTTCTGTCCATTTCTCATTATAAGTTACTTCAATTGAATTTACTATAGTTTCGGTTGGAGATTATAATTGTAAGCGCAAAATCATCCATTCCAGGCATATGTTCACGGTCAAAATTGGGATCGGATTTGTGTGTAGTTTCAGTAATATTCAACGTCACAATGGAATGAAAAAAAGAGAAAAAACAATGAAATTAGATTAATATGAAAAAAATTGAGATCATTCATAATTATCAATATGCAATAAACTCCACATACCGAGTACAATTTATACCAAGAAATAACTCGTACTTCAGCAAGGCCACAATTTAATCAAGCCTAGCGCACTAAAAAATAATTGTTATAAACTAATTTCTAAAATATAATTTGATTGAATGATGTTGTTGTTGTTGAATGAGGGCTGCTACTACTGCGGCTGCAGATGTCCATTGTTGACATTCTGATTCTGACCTTGATACAACGGCAATGGCTGATTGTTGACAACACGGCGTTGTCTCCGTACATTTGGATGAATTGTCTGCTTGAACACGACGCATTCACCTGCATAATGATATAACAAAACACATAACATGTATAAAAATTGCTTTACAATGTGTATCCATTTCAATTGATTGCATCCATTTGTAGAGGATCAGCTTCGCTGCTGCGATATCACGATGCCACACAGTTGTGAGCGTTGGTTGTGCTCCGGCAGCTTCCTCGATTTCAACGTTTGCAACATTTGGTAGCCATGTTTTGAAGAAGCATTGCTTTTTTGACACCAAACGACCTGCATTCGGTCCATCTCGAAGAGTTGCAGCAATGACATCGCCCATATCTCGCATCTCGCGCCACATTCGTTCAATTGTTCGTCGCATTTGTAGTAGTCGTTTACTCACATTGGTTACAATGAGTGTTGGTAAGCCTAAAACTGGATTTGTTACACAACCCACACATGTCTTGTATCGATCACTTCGAGTTTGTTGTGGAAATCGTTTGAAACACAATGGATGTTGTCATGTATCGCTTGGGGTTACCCACGAACTCGATACTAGAAAAACTAGAACATATTAGAAAGATGTCAAATGTACATGTTATATGGCGTTTTACTAGAAATATTAGAAAAAATTAGCACATATTAGAATCCGTGGTTTCCCCCTCGATTCATCGACCATTCGAATGATGCAATTACCACGTTTCATAATGGCCGCAAGCAGCTTCCGTGCGAATTGGCTGGTGTTGATCCACTGGCTCCCATGTAGAAAATTGATGGTTGATTGTGAACCGTTTTGATTGCATGCCGTTTTGTCGATTGCACGAACCGATTCGATATGCTTGTCCAGTCTCAAGCGTGCATACTATTTGGTTGAATATGTTTCAATTCCGTTGTTCATCATTCTAAGTCGATGTTCAATGTACGAACGCCATGATGGTCCTTTTGGCGATGGCATTTCACCAATCATAGCTGCAATTCGATTACGATCGGCTTGCTCTTTGAAAGTAAACAATCGTGTGATTTGTTCGGCTTTCGCATCACGACGATTTTGTTTTGCATCCCAGTGATATCGCTTGCTGGATATAAGCAAATTCACCTAACAAAATGAGAACAACAAAAACAACATTGTATTCACAATCACAATCACTTTCATCTATATTATAAAAACGAAATGCCATTCTTTTGTCCTTAACTCCTCCCACAATTTTCAACCGATCTGAACCAAACTTTGCACACTTATACTTTGGACCGAGATCTAGGTCAAAATTAGGTTTTGGACCAAATTGGACTACTCCATCACGGTCGATTTTTATTTTTTTAATATTTGTATGGGGTATGTCAAAATTTGTAAATTTCATGATCAAATTCGGATTCATCGGCCCAAAATTATGGGGGATAGGTACTTTTGAGTTGGTTTAACAGCCATCGTTGTCTAATATGAGTTAAAACGTTTTATCATGGTCCATCATGGTCCATCATGGTCTAACACCATTTAACTCGGTTATTGAGGTCGGACATCATGATCCATCATGGTCTAACACCATTTAACACGGTAAATGAGGTCAGGAATCATGATCCATTATGGTCTAACACCATTTAACGCGGTAAATGAGGTCAGGAATCATGATCCATTATGGTCTAACAC